GTGTCGTCGCTTTCATCCTCGGCCCTGTGCTGCAAGCGACGAAGCTCTATGCCTGCCGAGGCATCTTCTGGACACAAGTCTTGGCGGCCATATATCTTGGAAGTTTCTTTTGCGACGAGGTCATGTTGTGTCTCTTGTGGCTGACTGGGTCGACTGCCAGCCGGGAGGGCGTCACGGGACTCGTCGAAGCGATACTCAGCCCTGCGGTGCCTCCTACGTCGCCAAAAACCGCAACATTTGACGATGACGTCCAAGAGCAAAATGAAGCCACGATGCCACAGGGCTTGGCTATTATCCTTTCTTTCTTGTTCCTACTGTGGTTTGCAGGCACTGCTGCGACTGGAATTTGCGTCAAACACCCCAATATGGCAGCGTGGATCAAAGTCGTGAATGTCCTCTTGGGCGGACCAGCATCCGCTATTACCTTCGGCGTTCTTTCTTACAGGAAGAGCAGTGGAGTCTTACGAATTCTCAAGGATGGTGCCCTTGGTTTTGCTGTGCCTGTCTGGCTATCTGGTTTCCTCACCAATATCATATGGAATTGCACACCCATGGTGGAGGTTTTGGAAAACGGGGTCGTCGCTTTCCACGCGAATGCTCGCCCCAAGGACTGGACATGGAAAGTCACGGGCGTGTTCTCAACATTCGGGCTTGGCCTATTGGCACGTCACTTTCTCGCAAATGTTGATCGCCACGGAATACCCAAACCGGTCAGGGTCACCTTGACATTGTGGGCAGGTGCCCACCTGGCAACCGCGCTGGCAATGTACAGCTTGGCTCACGATCCTAGTCTTACCTTCAAACCATCGTGGACGGACGTCTTGGGCTGAAGGCAGTGAGGCAGGCTTTGGCGGGGTTGCATTTGACAACCTGGATGGTCATGGAGTAGGCGAAGCCATCTTACTGCGCAGAGCCCGGGAAATTCAATTGAACCATGAATACTCACTATCCGATGTCGTGCTTCGGCCGATATGAGACCATCTGATCAATATCCCACCATCCCTGACGGCCTCAACGTCTATTGAAGAGGCTCTGCACCAAGACAGGAAAGATGCTAGACTGAAAGAGGATCTCCAGCCTTGGAATAGATAAGGTAGAGCTCATAGTGGGATGATGCGCCCCTCTGCGGGGTAAATCTTCCTCTGTGGGGGAAGCATCAACAGGGGGCCCCGTCTTGTGTCTAATGCTCAGCGCATCGCAAAGTGTACCAAACATCAGCTTTCCGTGGAACTCAGCTTTGCCCTTAACTTTGCTCACATCTCGTCGTCAACAACCCAGCATTTCTCCATCTTAGTCGATTTCTCATCAGATAATACTCGGAGCATGAGTAATCATCAAAGACCCCAGTCGCGTCAAAGCTTCGGCAACCCCCCGGCTTGGTCTTCAGACGCATCCCCGGACGCCATCTCATTCCCCCAGCCTCCCTCGAGCCAATCACAACTCTCCCGAAATCAGCACCGTCCGCCAGGCGCCCTCCACACTCCACACAAGCCGAGGCTCACGGCCAACCTTCCAGACATGGCTGTCTGCGGCCGCCCGTCTCCCGACCGACGTCAACCGATGTACCGCCCCCTAAAGGCACATGTCATCTGGTCCGACTCAGGTCGCTGGAACTCCTGACACCTTGTTCTACGTCTCCAACGATACAACGCACGACTTGGCCTCCCTCCTACACGCCGACGATATCTATCCTCCCTTTGACGACGACGACGACGACGACGACGACGACGACGACGACGGGCACCTACCCAAGCCATTGAAGCTTCAGTCTCCCATCAGTCGAATCTCCCAAACTCCCTGGTGGTATCGAAGAACAAAGAAAGCTCCAATCCCACACGCATCACGATGGCCGCAAAGACGTACTCCCGCGACGAGGTCGCAAAGAACAACCACGATGAGTCCCTCTGGTGCATCATCGACGCCAAGGTCTACGACCTGACAGACTTCCTCGACGCCCACCCGGGCGGCGAGTCCGTCCTCCGCCAGGTCGCCGGCCGCGACGCCACCACCGAGTTCTACAACCTCCACCGCCAGGAGGTCCTCACAAAGTACGACAAGACCCTCGTCATCGGCACCGTCGCCGGCGAGGAGCCCTCCGTCGTCGTCCAGAAGCCCGGCGAGCTCTCCGTCGTCCCCTACGGCGAGCCCCTCTGGCTCACGCCGCAGTTTAAGTCCCCCTACTTCTCCCCCTCCCACCGCGCCCTCCAGCGCGCCATCCGCGAGTTCACCGACACCTACGTCACCCCGGAGGCGCTGCAGGCCGAGGAGAGCGGCGACTACATCTCCCAGGAGCTCATCGAGCGCATGTCCAAGGCCGGCGTGCTGCACATGCGCCTCGGCCCCGGGAAGCACCTCCACGGCGTCGAGCTGCTCGGCGGCGTCGTCAAGGGCGAGGAGTTTGACTACTTCCACGACATGATTGTCAGTCAGGAGCTCGCGCGGACAAACTGCCGCGGGTTCCAGGACGGCAACATGGCCGGCATGACCATCGGCCTGACCGTCGTGCTCAACTTTGCCAACTCCGAGGCCCTCAAGAAGAAGGTGTCGGAGGAGGTGTTCAGCGGCAAGAAGAAGCTCTGCTTGGCCATCACGGAGGCCTTTGCCGGCAGCGACGTCGCAGGGCTGAGGACGACGGCGGAGAAGACGCCTGACGGAAAGCACTACGTGAGTACACATACCGTTATCACAGCGTCTAGTTGTCATTGCACGCGTATACTAACAGCTGCTTCGAACAGATTGTCAATGGAACCAAAAAGGCAAGTGATACACGACAGATGGAGCTATATGAATACTAACCTTCTTATCCCAGTGGATCACCAACGGCGTGTTCTGCGATTACTTCGTTACCGGCGTCAAGACCGACAAGGGCCTCAGCGTCCTCCTCATCGAGCGCGGCGAGGGCGTCAACACCAAGCCCATCAAGACCTCCTACTCTCCCGCGGCCGGCACGACGTACATCACCTTCGACAACGTCAAGGTGCCCGTCGAGAACCTGCTGGGCCAGGAGAACAAGGGCATCCACGTCATCCTGAGCAACTTCAACCACGAGCGCTGGACAATGGCTTGTAAGCGTCGTCTCTACCCCTGACAGAAACCAAAACACTGTAATTAATACGTTCATCCCCTAGGCGCCACGATCCGCCAATGCAGAACCGTCGTCGAAGAGTCCCTCAAATGGTCCCACCAACGCCTCGTCTTCGGCAAGCGCCTCATCGACCAACCCGTCATCCGCCAAAAGTCCGTTCCCCCCTCTCTCTCTTTCCTCACGTTTCCTAATTCTCAGACAACTAACAAAACCCGGTACACACAGACTCGCAAAGATGATCGCCCTCACCGAGGCAAACCAGTCCTGGCTCGAGACAATCACCTACCAGATGTGCAACATGCCCTACAAGGAACAGGCCAAGCACCTCGGCGGACCCATCGGCCTGCTCAAGATGTCCGCCACCCGCGCCGCCCACGAAATCGCCGACGAGTCCGTCCAGATCTGGGGCGGCCGCGGCCTCACCCGCACCGGCATGGGCCGCGTCGTCGAGATGTTCAACCGCACCTACAAGTTCGACGCCATCCTCGGCGGCGCAGAGGAGGTCCTCGGCGACCTGGGCGTCAGGCAGGCCATGAAGTTCATGCCCAAGTCAAGGTTATAAGAAGACAGACAGGTTGGACGTGTGTAAGAAGCTTGTAATAAACTCTGCTATGCTAGAAAAGACGAGAGCGCTAGAACCAAACACATAAAAACATATGAAAACAAGAACATCGCCCTTGTGTACACCCTCTAACCATCAACCCTCCCGTTCAGGAAAAATCCCGAAAATATCTCCACGACTCAGGGCCGTTTCCTTTTCGGAGTAAACCCCGTTCGTCCCCCCTCCTCCGCCAAGCAAACCCCGGGCGCGACCACACCTTACGCACTACGACCCCCCGTATGCCAAAGTTCGGATATACATACTTTAGCACGAATACAACTACAACAGCATTTGCTCAGCGGGGAGCGGGCAGGGGCAGTGGCAGGGGCAGGGTTCGCTACCTAAACGGGGCATCGTAGGTTTTGGCGTGCTTGTTTCAAGCTCCCTCTTTTGGGCGCGGCTGGGTCTCGTTCTTCCTTCGGGTGACGAAATGGCAGCCGAACCCGTGTTCAACGCTCTTTTGAAAACCCAAAAATACAAGGAAAAAGTTTGCATCATCAGCAAAGCAGGCGGGGAGATGTCCTGCCTTGGGATGACGCGGATGTGTCCGGGTTTCAGGGCTTTGAGCCAGGATTAGGTTTCTGCAAGGACCGTGATGTTGTGTTGTTAGCATCAGCGAGCTCTTTTCCGTTGTTGGATACGGCAGCTCCCGTTGACATGTGCTTACACGGCAACACGGCAACATACAATCGCGAAGCTAAACATCAAGGGATTCACAGCACGCACGTATCGACACCAAGCATACGCGTAACATTTCCATTTTCCTGCCCTGAGACGGCCGATGCTGCCATAGGGCCGCAGCTTTTTGAGCAACCCCAAGAGCCGACCACAAAATCTATCATCAAGAGGTCGGAAAACTATTTTCCACCCACGAACCGTCTCCACCCTACTCTGCTCTCCTCCCTCATCATCATTCCCGTGGAGAGGAGAGGCAAGCTTTGTCTTTAGACTGCAATCGTCATCCAACCGATGTGACCAAGCCCGCACGATGCCGAAGCTTTCGACGTTCATATGCGAAAAGGTGTATCATGGTGCGTAAGAGAAAAAGCCGTGATTTCATATGCCGTTCCGTGTAAAACTTTTCCGCAGGCCGAGTGTCCCAGTGTTTGCCGTGAGCAAGGAAGAAAAAAGAGAAAACGAGAAAAAAATGAGAGCCAATTCCAATGTACATAGCAAGCCGCAATGCCAGGTTCGTAAGAGTGAGCCGTATTTCGCCCCGAGGCCGTCTGAATCGTCGTAATAAAACCGCGGTTCTGGCTGCGAGGCAAGCCAATGCGTCGTCACCAATCGTCCGTTGCAATAGCCAGCTCGCGCTTAGTTGGGGCACTGGGACTGAACGTGACCAGGCTGCTGGCACTTGTAGCAGATCTTCTCGCCGCCGGAGGACTCCTTGGGGCAGTCGCGAGAGAAGTGACCGTTCTCGCCGCAGTTGTAGCACTTGGAGCCGTTGGTGCAGTCGCCTTGGAAACGTCAGCCAAAGTCCAGTTGCTTTGGGTCAGAGGAGTACTCACGAGACATGTGGCCGTAGCCACCGCAAGAGTAGCAGGTCTTCTGGCTGGCACCGCCGTAGCCGCCGGAGTTGTAGCCGCCACCGAAGCCGCCACCGTAGCCGCCACCAGACTTGGGGCAGTTGCGGGCAATGTGGCCGACCTCACCGCACTGGGCTTCGCATTAGCTTCTCCGCTGCGATGGGAAATCGAACGACGGGCGTCAAACCTTGTAGCACTCGGAGCTAGAGGCACCACCGCCGCCGACGTTGCCTCCCTGGGGGCAGTCGCGGCTGATGTGGCCAGCCTGGCCGCAGCGGTAGCAGGACTTGGTGTCCTTGGGGCCCTCGGGGCAGTCACGGCCTGGGGAAAAGTTAGCGAACAGTACACAGGGTCAAGAGATTGGCATTTGGACTAACTCATGTGGCCCTCGTCTGGAGCAGGGATTGTCAGTTATCTCATAGGCATAAGGCGAAAACAATCACTTACTGCCGCAGTTGTAGCTACACGAAAAAGTCAGTATCAACCGTTTTGAGCATCATAGCAGGAGAACATACCACTTGGCGGCGCCACGGTTGGGGCACTCGCGGGCCTACGTTTGGTCAGCAGCTCGAACGATGGATATCATCACCCCCTTCTCGAGGCATACCTGGTGGCCGGCAGCACCGCCTAAATATCTCTGGTCAGACTCTTCGCTTCATTTCAACAAGTGGGATGTAAAGTAAGGAATGGCACAGGTGTCACTGGCACACCAGCTCGAAGTCAGTAGGACGTCGCAATAGTCTCCAGGCGGGCCTCTTGACGAATCTGTCCATGTAGACTTGGGATATCTGGAATGCGATTTTGCCAGAGGCATCCTCGATTCAAACTGCCAGACTGATTTTGCACGACGGCAGTATCAGGGCCATGAGGCAAGCCAGACTCCCATGCTTCTGCGGCATGACTACCGCAAGCGAGACTATGACGGAGCCAAGCAGACAGTCCTTTGAAGCAGTCGCGCGCGCAGCAAATACATGCCTCAAAGGAAAGCTGCATAGACTGCCACCAATAGCAGGCTGAAAAGAGAGGCGTTTCAAGCGGTGAGAATTCGGTGAGCCAATGGCAACGAGACCTCGAGATCAGGATACCAGACGATCCCGAATTGCCAAAAAGCCACCCGCACAGAAAGGCAAATGCGGGAAAAAATAGAAATTGCCGCGTGTGGCGTTTGGCGGGAAGAGCTGGAAAGGAGACCACGAAAAAAGTGAAGTCAGGGTAACTCACAGGTGAAGCAGGTGCGGGCAGGAGGAGCGGCGGATCCCTGGAAGTCCATTTTGGGCTTTGGTGGCGGGTGAAGATGTCGAGTAGATGTACTGATTGATCTGTGGCAGCGATGCGTTAGAATGCAAGTTGCCCGTTGACTGCGAAGCAAGATGTCGTAGAAGGAATTCATGAGCCAAGCTTTGGTGAGAGATTGAGATCTTGCAGGCGAAAGGTTTGTTGCGATGGGATGTGGTTGAGGTGGGGGGGAGTGGCAAGTGGCATGTGTGTGCGCGCGATGTGGGGAAAAGTTGGAGATGGATATGTGTAAATCTGCTTTTTTCTGGGCTCGGCTTTTTTTTTTCCCTTTTGTCGCCCAGGCATGGCAGCAGGGCCAGCGGCGATGATGTCGAATCCAGGGTGACGCCAGCGATGGCCTTTGACGACGCGAATGCGACCAGGAACAGGAGAGAAAACTGTACTCACAGCGTCTGAAGAGCAAACAGAGTCGGAAATCTCTGTTGAGCGAGGGGTTGCGGAAAAGTGTTGCAAGGTTTGTGTTTGCGATGGAGGAGGTTGTGGGAAGAAGGGGGGAGGAAATGGTGGTGGGATTGGTCTTTTCAGTGTTTTTTTCCAAAGTCCACCGCTTTGCTGCGGTGTGGAGCCGGTGCGAAAATGGCCTGTATTCGTAGCGTCCAATCAAAGGGGCAAGAGGCTTTCTGAGGAAGAGCCTGTCGCGGGAAGGTAGGTATGGAAGGTGAGGAGGTACCTTACACACCCGACCTCACTTAGCCTGGTAGCAGCAGGAGCAGGAGCAGCAGTGGCACTTTGTAGCTGCCGTAGGTTATTAGGCAGATGGAGGGTTTGACGTGGGTGGTTACCTTCCTACCACTCACCTTTAGGAGATGAGAGGTCACGGTGAATTAAAGCGCGAGACCTGGAGCTGGCAAGTAAGGCAAGGTACCTTCCTGTCTACTGCCTAACTCTACAAGAACTAAGGCAGGCGGCGGCGAGTGAACGTCTAGCCCTTTCCGTTCTCTGCTCTGCCATATTATCATATCGCCTGCGTCTCCTCTCCTTGCCTTGTCTTGCCTCATGCTTGCGTTGGAAAAGACAGAAGAAGCAAGAAGGTCACCATGATTCACATCCGCTGCAGCATGACTTGCCGTGCCTACCTTGCGGTACAAGTACTTGCAGCTTTTGACACCGGCCATCATCACATCAGACACTCCCGCCCACCACCAGCTTCCCCAGCTTGAGATGGCCTGCCTTGCTTGTCCTACCTTGGCTTGGTCCGACCCGATGCTAGGTTGGCCGGTTCACTGCACACAGTTGGCTGGGCCGGGCTGGACTGGACTGATGTGACTGCTACTAATGTACGGCTTGGAGCTGAGGGCGGCCCCCGTTACCCGAGATATGCCTCCAAGTCAAAAGCCGGAGCCGATGATGAGACTACACTACCTTGCCTCTGTAGGTACGCGCCGCGACCATCTCACCTCAGGGGGATGGATGGGATGTTCGGCTCCAGGTCTCCAGACCTATCTCACACGGACTGAAGTGTACCAAAAAGGCAAGAACAGCCCTCGCCTTCGTTGCTTCGGCCCAATAGCTTGCGCTGCGCCGGAAGCAACCTTGGATCTTAGCTAGGGGTCGCGTTCATAAGAACTTAGGCCTTAAAGTAGACAGACGACGGAAGGGGGGCAATTGACTGGCGACTGCATCGGTACCCAAGTCAGAAGAAGGTTCTCCAGAGTTGAGATGACCTGGGACGAAGCTTGTGCCCGACCTCCCAGACTCGAACCTTCCGATAAGGCGGTTTTGACGTGGACAAGACCACCCCTCGGGAAATGAATGCTGAGCTGGTTTGTGCGACGGGGAAGCAGTAAACTCCAGGGACGAGAACTCAAAGGCAGCTGACTTTTGAAAGCAAAATGTGCAGATGCCTCTGCTCTCTGCTTTTCCATCGCGGGTCCACGGATATGCCTCCTACCGCTATTACGCAGCCAGGCTTGCTCTTGAAGTACCGCTTGGGTAGGCAAGCATGATAATGAAAAACGAGTACATGACGCGGCACTGTACTCGGTCTTTTCGCTGGTTGCACACTCTCTCTCAATTTTTTTTTTTTTATTTTTTTTTTCTTGTGGCCCCTCAGGTTTTCCCCCCCTCCCGTCCCGAATTTTTATTCAATTTTTTTTCTTCCATGAAAAAAATTGGCGGGAGAGAGGATTCAGCATGTCGGACGGGCTGGGGTCCCCCTGCGCCAGATACTAATTTAAATCGCCGAGAGGCAGGCAGGTGGCTCCGTGGCAGGCCAAACACTGTGAATTGCGATGCCCCAGCCTCGCTAAACCCTTTTCCATCCCTACGAGGGGCCAGTGAGGGGCCTGCGAGGGGCCCGTCCCTTGCATCCCTCCCTGTCTGAAAGCCCCTCATCACAGGCTGAGAGTCTGCAAGCTCTGATAAGTCTTGTCTCACAAGCCTTCATCAGCCCCTCACTTGCCCTGGTGGGCTGGTGGCCTGGTTGACAGAATGCTGGGCCATATGTATCTTGGATTCTGTCCATATTGTCCATGTGCATTGATTGAGCGGTGTTGAACGAAAACACTTCTCGGAGCACTCACCACAAGCGGTCTCTCAACATGTCGTAACAGGGTCATGAGACACCGCTTGGTGTAAGTGAAGAAAAGAGGGCCGCAAAAGCCGCAAAACAGAGAGCTGATCTCATCTGCGGTTTGCCCCTCCATCATGCAGGATTCTCATTTTTCTTGTCCATCACTTTTTTGGCTCACACTGTGCGTGTCGGGTTTGTCTGTCTCCATGTCTCACTCACAACCTCAGGTTTCCCATCCAATATACCGCCTTGCCGCGTATTCCAAGTCGAAGTGGTCTCGGCTGTAGGTATGCCCTCTGTCCGCGGTCCCGGTCCGGTTGCTGGTGGTGGTGCTGCTGCTGCATCGGTGGGATGGCACATGCCTCTCTGTGGTCCTGCCTCGACCATACTGGGGAGATGCAGCGTTGGAGAAGCTCAGCATTCCGAGCCAGATCAAGGACGAAATGATCGGGTGCTCAGGGATGCAAAAAGTTTCCCGCGTCAGAATTCCTCGTACAGAGCGTCTGCATTATTCAAGTGCTGGGCTGGCAGGCACGCAGGCAGGCGACAAACCCCGGATCACCTCACGGACTCGTTTCTTGATAAAGGTTTGGGCCGAGGCTTGGACGGCCCCTCCAGATCGACACCCTCCCCTCACCAAAACCCAACCCCCATGTACACACTTTTGACGTCGGCTCCGTATTTTTCAACCTCCTTCCTGCCTGGAACTCAATCTGCGATATCTCACTGGAGGAATTAACGCACAAATCCCAAGAGTTTCATTCCATTGAACTTGGGTTTCGCATCCCTCAGCGAAGCCACGGCCTCAGGCGAGCCCTGCCCAAGGATTGGTTCGTTCCATCGAGATGCACTTTCCGACCCAGCCAGATCTGCCGTGCTCAATCTCGGCCACTCTTCCATTTCAGGTTGGTGGTAAGCTTAGCAGTCGACCACACCGGATGAACCCGGCCATACCCTCAAACGGCCATCTCTCCGTACAGTACAGTATGTACGCTGCGCTGCGCATGCATAAGCATCTGGAAACAAGTCCTGGCCCAGGGGAGGTTGGCCTGTTTCCTTTCAATTGTTTCGTAGCCAGTAAATTGCGGCAACCGTTGGTCGACAGCCATCTTCGATCGAATGTTCCTTGGTCTCGCTTGCCAGGAATTACGCAACGACCATGCAGGGGCAAGGTGCATTGCGCCTCATATCTGCAAAGTAAACGGGCGAAGACATCGTCAACCACTGATTTGCTTCTGTTCAATCTTCCCGTGGATTCATTTCATGCGTGCACGAGTCGTCCCCGACAAAATTAAAGTTGCTGACCTGCCCTGAATGGTTTGCGAGAGCGAGGCTGGAGATATCCGATGATATCGCACTCGCAGACGAACAAGATGTGTGGTCTGGATTCTCTGATGGATGGAGAACATGCCGGGCAAGTGGCCACTTTCTGGCCGCAGGTGCAGCAGCCCAAGGCGCACTAGAACGGCATGTAACCACATACCGCCGCAATCATTGTGCATGAGAGGCCGCAGGCCGCGGGCTTTTGAGAAATGCAAGAAACAACAAGTAAGAGCGACTGCGCGCATTGGTATTGGTTCGCTAGGAATGCAACCCTGACTTCCTCCAGGCGAACATGTTGCAGACACGCATCGCGTCGACCATCTGGTCTTGATGGGAAAAACAAGTCCAAATCCCACAACGATGTCATCGCAGAGGTGAAGCTCTTGGATGCCAATCGGCTTGGTCGGGAAAACTTGCCCGCCACGTGTGTAGAATTCTTCTGGAAGCTTGGCTTGGCGACGAATGATGATTGAGTGTAGGATCCTTCGAGGAAGGAATCGAAGAGGGTCCTCCGCGAAGGCGGCACGAATTGCCCGGCTAAAACGAACCGGGAGGCAGAAACAGACCCTTGTCTAGCCTCTGGCGGGCATTCCTCCCAAATGGGATCTGTCCACATCTCGTGAGGATGTTCGGGGCCGTCGCCGTGTTTGATTGTCCGAACTGCCGCACCTGACGCAGCAATGATCTAGTCATTAACGAGCTGATTGCTGAACGAAGCAGTTCCAGAATCGAGGCCATCACAGTTTCGTCCCTCTTGGTGCGCCAGGGGCCGACTGTGCCAGCTACCGAGAGAGCGCATTTTCTTGATAGCATGCGGTACTGGTAAGGCGTGCCTGGCCCTACTAGCGATGTCGTACCATGACGATCATTCACCGGGGGGATTCAATGTTGACCAGCTGCCGGGCCGGAAGACCGTGGCCCGTGGGGAAAGGTGTTCCCGTCGGGGGGCTTGGCCCACCAAGGAGCTTGTCCTCGATGTCGGCCCTGGCGCCGACCTTCGCGTTATCTTTCGGAGTGGCCGCGTTCTGTAGGCCCACTGGAGGTGACGAGCAAGGCCAACCGTACCAATTGATGTCGCAGGCCTGCTCAATCAATAAACACGCCCCGCCCAGCTCTCCTCACTGCGGAAGTGGCTCCGA